AAATATGCTTGAGGGGTTAACGAATAATAAAAAAAAATTGTTATTTCATTAAAAAAATTTTCTTTAATTTTAATTTTAATTTAACAAATAAAATAGTATTTAAAAATGAGATACTTATATGCCAGGTTGGAAGTAAAACCGTAAAACCCACAGCAACTTAAGGGCGATTTTCACCATACAAAAAAAAAACATAGTGCAATATAATATACTATAAAAATTCCTTGAAAAATATAAAAAATCAAATAATTGATTGAAATAAAACGGTTTAGTAAATAAGTATATAATTTTTTTCTAATAAATTATTTGTAAGTATATAAAGAGCAAATAAATATGTTTAAAGAAAATATGATTTAAATCCAGTTTGCAAATCAAACATCTATTTTATACCCATGGCAATATTTGGATCATGGTCAACATAATTCTATGAAATATAACTCTGGTTGAGGTAAACGGTTTCCTGTAAAGAAATAATATTAAATCATAAATGTAACATTAAATTACAAGCGTGTTTGAACGGAATTGTTAAAGCAATCCTTTAAAATAATGGCTTGTAAAATAAAAATTTTGTTAGATTTTTATTCATCTGCTTTACTGGTTAAATACCAAGTTAATTTAGCTTTCCATCAATAACTTTATATTTTAAAGCTTATAGTTATATTTAAATTTAATATAATCAAACAAATCAAACAGTAGACAGACTCCAGAACTTATATTTTGGATTTTCTTCAAAAATAACATTAAAATAATATCAAAATAGTAAAATTAAATAAATATCAAAATAATAAAATTAATCTTACTTTATTCTCTGGTAAGATTCAATATCACGATTTAAATTCTCATGTACAATCTCATATACAAAAGGTTACTGTAAAAGGGAATGAATATGAAAAACACAGAAACAGTAATACTCATTACACAAAAACTTTACTCTGTTGAGTTTAAAAATATATAAAATATTGTAAAATAAAAATAACAAATATGTAAATAAAGATGCTTATTTTATTTAGCAATGTTATTCATCTTCTGAACTAAATTATTTAATGGCATTGGAAAACTTGATGTAGGCATCACTTTTTTCTTGGCTTGTTTGTTTTTTTGGTCTTGTCTAACTTTTTTTCTGCCATTGCGGTCTGATGCACCACGCAAAAAACGCACAACCTCATATTGAAAATCTGATTCAGTTGATGAAGTTGTTGCAGGATTTTTTTTACACCTCCTAAAAATTAATTTAAGAATTTTATCTAACTATCTAGCAGGAAAACAAAAAATATATTTTTAACTTAAATTTCAGACATATATAGAATTTTTTTAAAAGCAATTTATTAACAAATTTTATTTATATATTTATTAATTTTTTATTTTTATATAGATAATAAATAAATTTTATTTATTTATCAACTATTTATTAACAAATAGATCAGTAATTACTAAATTAGAAACAAAAAATTATTAAATTAGAGTAACAAGCCCCTACAAAAAAAATTACTTTTAAGCAAGTGTAAGTCTTTGTTTTACAAAGTTACTTTCATTGTCATTTATGGTAATACCAGACCAGTTAAGTTTACAGCAGAGGTTATTAGTGAATAACGCAAAGGACATTCTCTGGACAGCCTCCTTTAAAGTCTGGCCTCCGTTACTTGCCACAGCTATCATCTACAAAAAAAAAAATAGAAAAAGCATCAGTAATATATATACTGAAGAATATCTTTTAAAAAATTAAAAAAAAAAAAGATATCAAATTAATTCCATTAATTATTGCATAACATTTATTAATAGGCTTTATGTCCTTTATTTCTGTTTATAAATGATCTATAAATGATCTTTGTGTACCACAAATAAAAGCTGATATAGCAAACTTATATACTTTACCATTAATACTAACACCAGAATCAAATAAAGCAATACTTTCATTAACAAACATTTTTAGAAATTCATTACGGTCTTTTGGTGTAGACCTACTATAAAAAAGACTAATTATAAATGGAGTTTTATTGTGTTGAATATTGTTTATCCATATTTTTTATTAAACCTAATATTGGCCAAAATTGTCTAATGCTGCTTTTAAACAATGGTAAATCATCAATGTTGACTTGAATTGGTATACAATCCTTTTTCTTTAAAAAACTTAAATTATTACTTAAAATACCTTGTCTAATGCCAATATTTAATATCAATAGATTACTGTCAGAGTTCACTTCACAATATATATATAATATATATTATTTGCACCTTAGGGAATAGCACTCTCAGTTGAAAGTTTTCAATGTGGTATACTTTTAAAATACAACAATTGTACTTCTTCTGGTGAATGTGAAATATTGCTTGATTTAATGGTAAGATCTTTTAAGCAATATTCAACATCAGCTATTATCTTTCGTTGTTTTGTCCAAAAGCTCACTATTGAAACTTACATAAATTGTTTTATTTACTAAAGCTGGTACATATTTAAAAATGCATATATTATATGTTTGTGTGTGTGTGTGTGTGTGTTTATATATATATATATATATATATATATATATATATATATATATATATATATATATATATATATATATATATATATATATATATATATATATATATATATATATATATATATATATATATATATATATATATAACTTCATATTAGTTTAACATTGTTCTTGTTACATTAAAAGTTATAATATAACTTATATGACTAGTCATGTAACTTTTAATATAACAAGAAAAATGTTATACTAATATGGTTATAACATTGTTACATAACTGTAAGAATATTGTTAAAGTTATATATGTTTAAAATAAAATCAAATTAGAATTTTTAATTTTGAGTTTTATAAATATATATTGAACCTATATGTATATCTATACTTAATATCTATACTAAGTATAGATATAGATATAATATATAGTAATCTATACTAAGTATAGATATAGATATAATATATAAGTATAGATATAGATATAAATATAAATTATAAATATAGATATAAATATAATATATTATAATATAATATATAGTAAAGTATACTTTATATTATAATATATTACATTTACATCTATACTTATAATTTATAAATATAGATAAAGGTATAAAATCATGTAACTTTTAATATTTATAAGCAATAATTATAGCTAGGTATATTTTATAATATAAAGACTTTATATTATAAAATATAATTTAATAAATAAAATAAATCGGACTTTATATTATAAAATATACAATAAAGGTTATATATATTAAATCTACATCTATACTTTATTAAAGTATAGATGTAGATTTAATATATATGAGCTATATTGTAAGACTTAAAAATAAAAAGACTAATTTGATTTTTTTTTAATACTATTTATTTATTACTTACTGTTTTACATAGACTATGTACTACAGTATAAAATATAAAAATCAATCAATCTAAGTCTCATGGCTTACTTTTGGTGTTTTTACGACATCTTACCGTTATACGGGAGCCAACTCGGGCATTGTGTTGTCAAAACTAAAGCGTATCGTCATAAACTTACCGAAGCCTATTTAAAATCGCGGTGTTTTATCGCTATTCGGCCGATGGCGGAAAGTCAACACAAATTAGCATGCCGGTCCTACATGAGCTACCTGGCAGCGGTAAGCCGCATTAGGAATCACAAAGGGCCAGCACCGGCATTCCGGCGGCGGCTTTGCGCATCGCGGTCCGCTGAAAGCATGTTTGCTGGGAAGTCATAAAAAAGACACCTTTTATTCGTCTAAAGATGTCTTTTTTCCCACTGCGTACTTATTAAATTAAAGAAACATGGATGTACATTGATATTAATGTAAAAATGTATTAACTGCTAATGTAACAAATTATACATAAAAATGATTCTTTTAAATTTTTAAAGGATTAGGTAATTTCTACAGATCTAATAACGAGCAGAAACGTTTTTCAGCTCTAATTGTTTATAAAATTTAAAAATTTACCTTTAAAAAAGCTCAACGTCGGGGATGTGACCAATGATTTTGCTGATTTAAAAAACCGCAACAAGATAATTCGGATGTTTTTCTGGGTACCAAGAACCGTTTTTTTTTTTTTTTGCAGTACCCACCACCGAGTATCTTAAAAGAATTTTTTCTTTAAATCATTTATCTTAAATGCTGTAACTATATGTTTAAGTGGTACTTTAAATTGTGTCGAAGTAATATTAACAGTATTGCTTTTAGTTTTAACTTCAACCAATAAACTTCTTGATATAAGTCTAAAAGTGTTATGGAGTCAATAACCACAAAGCACTCTTTATTCAATGTAGACGTGTCTCACTTAAAATATTGTTTAATTTTATTCACGCTACAGTCGAGAAAGTCTACTTTTTTTTTTTTTTTTGCAATTCTCTGTCTTTTTTAATCTTTTTTAATTTTTGAAAACGTAACTTTTGATTAATTAGCGCATATTAGCAATTAGCAATAAATGACAAAAAAATATTAATTATATATAATATCACAATTATAAAACAAAATTAGTTGGCCGGAATTAATTTTGTAAATATATATATATATATATATATATATATATATATATATATATATATTTTTATATATATATATATATATATATATATATATATATATATATATATATATATATATATATATATATATATATATATATGTATAAGTTTATATAAATAGTATATATATATATATATATATATATATATATATATATATATATATATATATATATATATATATATATATATATATATATATATATATATATATATATATATATATATATATATATATATATATATATATATATATATATATATATATATTATTTATCAGTAAACAATTTAATATATAGCAATCATTATGGACTAAAAAAAAAAAAACTCGACAGAACACGCAGTTCTCCAGTTTACGAGAAGTATTATTAACTCTTTTGAAAACTCCGAATATACAGCTAGGGTTTTTATAAAACTTTTGATACAATAGACCACAATATTTATTTAAATAAACTAAAGATATACGGTATAAACGT